ATACAAGGGCGAGCAGCCCGAAGGGGAACCAAACATGTACGGTAAGCTCGCGCGGCGCCGGCGAGCGCAAAGGTGTTTGACACCGCATCGATCGTTTAACCTTGAATCGATCGCGGCCCTGATCGTTCGAACCTGAACTCCGTCGGGTCCGGTGGCGTCACCGTGTCCCTCGGTGCTGCCGCTCAACGCCTTCGCAGGCGTCGCCGGCGCGTAAACGCCGCATGAATCGACTGTACAGTGCGGACGCGGCCGCAAGAAACCCCCACAAAAAAAACCGCCCAGAGAACCTGCGCGAGAGGTGCGACCAGGGGGGCAGCCCACGGCACCCTGACCGCTTCAGCTTCTCGTGTGGCCGCGGGACATCACCGCGCAGCGCACGGAACGAAACAATCCAAGGTGCCCTGAGGAACAGCATCCGGTTTCTTGACGCACGCCTCAACTGTATTCAGGTGCACGGTTCCCCCGGGGCCGTAGGCGACCCGAGGAGGAGGAGGTGGAGGAGGGGGAGGGGGAGGCGGAGATGGAGGTGGAGGAGGAGGAGGAGGAGGAGGAGGAGGTGGAGGGAAGGAGGAGGAGGAGGAGGTAGACGACCCCCGAGGGACGGGAGAGTGTGAGGAGGTCCCGCCCCACCCCCAAAACGGCCACCCGAGGGAGGGGCCCGCAGCGGGGGAGGTGGGCCCACACAGTGCCCGCGCCGCTGGCGCGCATCCGAGGCCAGCCTCACGCCCCCGAGGGTGCCTCAGATTCAAAACACTCGCCCCTGGCAGCATTGGCGCTGGCCCGGGCAGCATCGAGGGCGTACGCCTGGCGTCCGAGCTCCTCCGCCCTGGCGCGCGAACGAAAACCAAAGGCCCACAAGCCATCGCTTATGGCCATTCAGGGGCATTCACTGCCCCACCGCATCGGTTGGTCTGGGGCCGCGCGGCGCGCGTGAGGCCCCCCCGCTGCCTGCGCCGCGTCGGGCCCAGAGAAATGGTCCCTCCACTGCGCGCGCAGCCCCGCTGATGGTCCAGCCCATTCGCCCATGCGGGCGCACCACGCGTGGGGATGAACGCTTCTCTCGGCGCTGCTGCGCATGCTCTGCGCCCGTGGGTTGCGTCCTCCCGTGGGCGAGCACTCTGCCTTGAGACCACGGCCGACTCCTGGGCACGTGGCGTGCCCAAAGCAACGTGTACACATCAGAACATGCGAACACGCACCCTTCGGGGCCCGCGCCGGTTGCTCCCCTTCGAGCACTGGTGCTGCTAAAAGGGCGTGGTCCGGCACCCGCCATGGTCCTCGAGACGGGCAGCCAGCCTTGTCGAGATCCCCAGTGTCCCCGCCGTCCCCCTCACCGTCGCTCCCCGACCCAGGCCACATCGCTTCCACGACAACCGTGCGCGCGGCCTCGAGCCCCAGATGGTCTCTAACCCCCGCTGCAGAGATCACGGCCTCCAGCCTGCATGTGAAGCGCGTGAGACGCCAAGTACTTTCTAGGCACCCTCGCAGGAGGTTTCTGTCTTCCTGCCGAAGGCGGCCCAGCAACGCTCCTCTCTTAATTAGCTGATCGGCGGCATGGTTGCCGTCCCGCTGCCATGCCGTGATGCGGCCCTCGACGACGTCGTCCCACGCCGAATGAGCCTTAACCTTACAAAAAGAAACATCATCGAGGGCGCCACCACCAGCGGCCTGGTGCCACAGGTGCGCGCGAGCCTCAGAAGGGCCTTGCGCGCAAACTAAATTCTGCCCACAAGACACCGTCAAGACACCGTGCCCTGACAGTCAACCTGCATTGTGTACCTACCGACAACATGCCGAGACACCATTAGAACGGCATAGTCTTCGCCATCCCACGCTCTCTGTCCTGGGCAGAGCTCGCGCGGGACGGCCCCGTACAGCTTGCCAAGAGGCCTAACATGAGCATCGAATGCGGCGATGGATGCCCCTATCCCGCCGACCGAAGCGTCGGCCACTCGGCGTCGAAACACGCTCCATCTGGAAACACATGCCCACCATCCAGCATGAGACCTGTCGCTGGCCAGAGGGAGGGGGGGTGGACGGAGGCAGAGGGAGGGGTCGGGCAACAGAGCGCGGGCGAACCTCTCCCCCAGCTTCCGACCCCCCTCCCGCGCGACAACGGCCGTCTCGGCCAGATCAGCATCGAGATTGTCGGTCCTCCAGGCACGGTGGGCTGGACAACGGAAAAAGGAGGAGGAGGAGGAGGAGGAGGAGGAGGAGGAGGAGGAAGGATAAGGAGAGATGAGGAGGAGGAGGAGGAGGAGGAGGAGGAGGAGGAGGAGGGAAGAACAAGAGGAGGAGGAGGAGGAAGAGGAGGAGGGGTTGCCTCAGCCCTTCGGAGAAACCCTCGATGTCCAGGGGCGCCGATGGCCCGTGCCTTCGGCGAGGCTTCCCGGCGAACACGCGCGTCATGCCCGCCCGGTGGGCCGTTCGCTCGCCCGGCTCGCCGCCTCCGACCATCCCCGCGCCTTCCCAGGGCGGCGCCTCGGGCGCTGGCGAGCACCCCGCTGCGCGCATTGGGAGGGGAAGGCCCAGCGATGGCGGAGATGCTGCTTGCGGGCGACTCATAGTTTCTGTCATACTATGCCCGCGCGCTTGCTTCGCTCGCTGGTCCTCTGGCAAAGGGGAGGGGGCAAGCCAAGCGAGGCGCTGGCGCCACGACTGAGATCCTGGCCCCTCGCGCCAGGCCCCTCGCACATGACGCTGTCATGCATCCCCCTCTGCTCGTGAGGCCAGGCGTCAAGCAGGGGCCTGAGTCTTAGACGGCATCTGCGGTGCTGGTCGCTGGTCGTCCACGGTGAACGTGGCGAGGGGCCCACACTGGGCCAGCGAGCGCGCGGTGAGGTCGGGCGACGTCTTGGGTGGGAGGACCGAAACCGCTCCACAGTCGAGCGGCGCCAGTGGCACAGCTGGGCTGACAAGTGCCCTCAAGAGCAGCGCGGGCAGTAGCGCAAACGAGCGTGCGGCGCGCTCGCTCGCCCAGTCAGTGTAAGCGCGCTCAATTTCTGCGCACGGCCAGTTCTCCGGGTCGCTGTGCTCCCGACGGGGGAGAGCATGGTGCTCTCGTCGGACGTGGGAGGCGGACGAGTGTGGGAGGGCGAAAAGGCAAGAATTCTATGGAAACGTGAATGGAAGCACGCCTCCCTCTCGGCGATTGCGCGCTCGGCGACGTGGTGCGGTGTCAAAGCATGGCGGGTGAACTGCCAAGACCGAGAGGCGGCGTGGGCGAAGCGGCGGCCGCCCGATCCAGTGCAGGACAGACACGGGCTGGCGGCACAGCAAGGGCAGGCTGGGCCAAGGAACACGCGGGGTCAGTAGCGACAGCCAAAGGATACTCAGGATGGGGCAATAATCTCCCCCCCCTGGATCCGCCGGGGGGGTTGGGCACGTGCTGTTGGAACGGGTGGAGCGGGGGTTGGAGGAGGAGGAGGAGGAGGAGGAGGAGGAGGAGGAGGAGGAGGAGGAGGAGGACGAGGTGGAGGAGGAGGAGGAGGAGGAGGAGGAGGAGGAGGAGGAGGAGGAGGGGGGGGATGGGCAAGCTCCGTCGGACGGTTAGTCTCCTACCACTCGGTTAATATCCCACCCAGAATTAAGAAAGGAAAGCGGGGGGACGGGGAAAACAGGGTGGGGCCGACGGACGGACTAGGCCGGAGGAGAGCACGGGGGAGTAGGGGGACCATCGAGGCCACACACAGGGCAGACACGCACCCAGGCGTGCGTGGTCGTGACTTGTTTCAATGCGGGGGCCCTGGAAGCCCCGACCCATTCTCCGAGACGGATTCATCATCCTGGCTCGTTTCTTTCTTTTTGTTGTGCTCCCGCTCTTGGGCTCATCGCTCCGCCCTCCCTCCGCACACACGCGCCCCCGGTGCCCGCGCTCAGCGCGGCGCCAAGCGAAGGTCCGGTGCCGAACACGGCCAAACACCTCCCGTCGTTTTTTCGCTGTGCGACGCAATCGTGTGCCGGAAGGCGAGCCGCCACGCATGCACACGCGCACGCAAACAAACGCACGCGCGCACGCGCGCACAACCCGCCCGCGCACCGCAACTCACACAACCATAACAGCTACTCCTTCGCGAGCCAGGCCTGCCATATATGAGACGCACAGGGGGACCCCTCGCAGTTCCAACAAACTCTTGACGACCGAGCTTCCAACCTGTGCTTCGACCCAACGATCCAACGCATTGGAAAAACACACCAAAGGTCGTTTGCTGTTTTTGGCTTCTAGAGGCGGTCGCCAGGCCCCGGGACCGTCGAAAACCAACTCAGGATGAAAAGCTGGTCCCTGGAGAAGGATCGAGATTTCCAGGGACCCCGTACTGAAACATGAACGAAAGCGGATCTCTGGGGCACACCCTACACGGCGCCAACAGTAGGGGAAACCTTTCTGGTGAGGAGACTCCCTGGATGCGCAAGGGTTAGGTCGGGCATGTCCCGCTACAAGCAGATTTTGGAAGAACATTGAAATATGTGCAAAACATATACAGACATAGAGACTATTTTAAACTATCTTTGAATATTCCTCCTGTAGAGGAACACGCCCGACTTAACGCAAGGGGCTCGTTGAATAACTGTTGCGAACCTTCGAAGTGGGTGTTCCATCTCCTCCCTGAGATCCGACGCCGAGCACACATCTGACACCGTGAAGAAGCACGGCTGGAGCCGTGGACCCCACCTTCCTTCGCTAATTCTCGGGGCCTGAGGCCAGGTGGAAGCTCCAGGCGTGACACCCTCTCGTCCTCCCATCCCTGGGGGAACGAACAATGACATAAACATAATAAAACGGAGGTTCCTGCGGATTTCTCGGATCGGCGCTGGGGCCTCCTGGCGGCGCCTCCCGCGCCGCCCCTGGCGCGCCCCACGCGCCAGGGAGGGGGGGTCCAGCGCCGATCTGAGAAATCCGCGCGAACCTCCGAGCTGTTATGCTTTTGTTTATGTCATTCTTCGTTCCCCTAATCCCGACGACAAGACGACGGCCACCGGTCATGCCCCTCCCTGCCGTCCGCGAGGATCGAGCCGAGCGCGCTGATGCTCACGGACATCAGGACGAAGCCGACCCCCTCCGCCTCCATCGCGGGCAAGCAGCGGGTGCAGCATCAGGTGTATGGCGCGGGAAAGGAACTGCCAATCGCCTTTTGTAGTTTTGTTTTGACTGTTTGTTCCGATGGGGCCTCGATCCGGCCATTCGCTGTGGGGGATGCGCCCGCGGGGCGCGGTGGACGGCGTGCAGCGGCAGTCATGCCGAAACGCAACATTGCGTACCCAAAACACGAAGCACGCACACGACACCACGCGGCTGCCTGATCGAAGTTTTGACAGGTCTGGTCGCAGGCGGCCAAAGTCGTTCAAAGAAATGGTCGGCATGATCGAAACGAGTCCTGCAAGAAACGGCTCTTGGGCCCCAGGAGTTTCTTCCAAGCTCGATTCTTCATGTGAGTGTTTCCTATTCGGCGTTTCGACTCTGGGCGGAAGGGGGGGGCTGGGGGTAGTTCGACTGTTTGTAGCAATGGGTCCTATTGTGGGCGACTCCACCCGCTCGAAAGAGGTGCCCAAAACAGCCAAGATCTACACCAGGGGGGGGGAGGAGGGAAGGGTGCGAGGGCCCGCGCCGATCGGCAAAACAACGAATAAAAACGACCACCATCCTGGGCCGTGTTTGGGAGGAGCGGCCTTTCTGGAGCATGTGGCCGCTGGGCACTCTTTTGATAGTCATTTGCTTTCTCCTTATCTCTGTTCTTTTAGTGGGGGGTGCGTCATTTGCGTAGTCGAATTCTCTTTGAACTGTTTTGCGCCATACTCCGCCGCCTCCTTCTCATTCTTCTCCCAAGTGTCCACCCCCTCGGGAGGGAACAACAAAAATCGTTCCTTGGACAAAGAAACACATCCCACCACAATATCGGGACTAATGATTCCTTATGAAAGGGAACCGTTAGTCTCATCGATTGCTCTTGGATCTCTTTTGTGTGAGTCTCCTCCTCCTCCTCCTCCTACCGCGCCTCCTCCTCCCCCTCCGCCTTCTCCCAAGTATCCCCCGAGGAATGGGAACAAACAGGTAAAGAAAAAACGGCGGAAGGCGGGGGGAGGATAAGTTTTAGTGTGTTACTTTGTTTTTCCCCTGGTACCCTTACTACGAAGAACCCTCCTCAAGAACCCTTACTGAAAACACCACTATGAAATAATCCGCAATACAGAGAATATGATAACGGAATCCTTACCACATGTGTCCCCTCTGAAGGGCCCGGAACGTACAGCATCCGCATGTTAAGGACACATCACAGGAACATATACACATTCAGGATCCGAGTGCTACAGGTATCCTCACTCAGGACCCCGCGTGCTTATCAGGGATTCCTTGCGAAAGGAAGCATGGACCCTTACTACAACCATCATCATCATTCAGGGTGGCATCACTAAACACATCATTACGGAGCCTTACTACAAGGGCCCTGCCAACAAGATCCTTACTAAGAATATCTATTGGTAACGACAATCCTGCCACAGACTACGTAACACGTGCCTCCACAATAGGGTGGGGGGGGGGGTACTAAAGGCATCCTCACAAAAGGGCTCCTCAGTGAAGAGGCCCTTGCAAACTATGCCCTGGTAAAGGCAAACTTGCAGACGAATACTTACCACACGTACCCCTAAGAAAGGTTCCTCCCTACAGAAGTCCTGGATGCAGGAACCCTTCCTTATGAATGCTTAATAAAAGAATCCTAAAGAAAGAACCCTGACTGAGTCGGAATGCTTACCCATGGTGCCTTACCACAAGCATCCTTACTAAGGATCTCCAGCACTGGCCCTCATGGACGTGTTCGCATAGCGTCCCATAGGGTCTTCATTGGCTTCGCCATGCGCGAGTGTGTCAGGGGAGGAGGGGGAGACAGAACGCAAGAGGGAGAGAGAGAGAGAGAGAGAGAGAAAAAAAAACAAAAAGACAGACAGAGAGAGAGAGAGGGAGCGAGCAACCAATTCCTCCTGCCACGTACTCCCTCTGCATTTCAGGCTGTGTGAGAGCAGCTGGGCCCTCCACCCATTGCTTCCTTAAACTCACCCTTACTAGGGACTCCTCACTGCAAACATCTTGACTAGGTAACTCCTCTAAAGTGAAGCGTGGGCAATCAATGCTTCCTACGGGGGTCCTCACCGAGAAGATGCGTACTACAAGTACCCTCACTAAAAGCTCCTCCTGAAGGGATCCGTGCTAAGGATGCCTTGCTAAATGCAACATTACCGACAAACACTTACCACAACAATATCCACAAAGGATTTCTTGATGCAGCCATCCTTACTTATGAATGTGTCCTAAAGGAGTCCTTACTAAGGAGCCCTCACTAAATCGGAATGCTTACCCATGGCGCCTTACCAAAAGCATCCTTACTAAGAATATCCAGCATTGGCCCGAATGGAGGCGTTCGAATGGCGTCCCATTAGGATTGCGTTGGCTTCGCCTCGCGTGAATGTGCAAAGGAAAAGAAAGAGAGAGAGAGAGAGGGGGAAAGATAACGAGAGAGAGAGAGAGAGCAACCATTTCCTCCTGCCATTTAGCCGCCCTGTGTCGTGAGCTTTGTGAGACAGCAGCCAGACCCCCTCCCAGCTCTTCTTTTCTAAGGACTCCTTACTAAAGGGGTCCATACTCACGTTTTCTTACTGAAGGGATCATGGGAGTCCTTCCGAACGGAAGTCGTCGTAAGCACTCCTAGCTACATGGGCCCTTCCTGCGGGGATCCTTCGTGCTGCGAGCGCACAGTGAGAGGGAGAGAGACCCCCCCCCGAGCATCGTCCTCGAAATTCCAAACCCCCGTCTGTTGGCAATGAGCTGGGGCTCCATGTGCCATGCTCGGGGATCATTTTTCCTGTCGGTTGGCTGTGCACCAGCATACCCACACACTGTCAAGATACTCTCCAAGATAGCCTAATCTGCGACTGTGTCAAGATGCTGGGGGGAAGACGAAGAATAACGAGAAGCAGGTACAACATGAAGAGGAGCATAAGGCGTGAAAGCGACCAAATCACGTGTGGCACGGCCAATGCTCCACAATGGCCTTGCCACTTTTTTGATGGTCCAGGCGCCCAGGGAAGGCCAAATGAAACCTGCAACTAAGAACAACTGAAGGACCCGTTTCCCCAAGAAGAGTCTTACGAGAACGGCGCCAATGCACCGTACCATGCCTGGACTCGGTTCAGGCCCCGCTCCAACGTGGTACGGTGCACAGTCGTTGGGCTCCTAAGGGCCGATGAACTATGCACCGCGACACTCCTGGGTAGAAGATCGACAAGGCCTCGCGGAACGCCAACGCGGTACTGTGCATACAGGTCGTCCGCGGACGTTTGCTTCATGGCGAGGAGGCGTAGCAAACGACGCCGCTCGGTGACCAGATTGCGACGCGGACGGGCCCAACCGCAGCCGGTGCCGTGGAGAATCCCCACCGTGGGGAGTGCCCTCGGCGCACGCTCGGGCGCCGGCCCTGACGTCGAGGGATGGGGGGCCGTCGGCGGTCATCGCCAGAGTCATCTTGTCATCGTCGTCGTGTCGGCGCTGCCCCGGAGGTCGAGGGATCGGAGGCCGTCGGCGGTCATCGCCAGAGTAAGCTCGTCGTCGTCGTCGTCGCCGTATTGTCGTCGTCGTATCAGCAGCGGTGCGCGCTCAACTCCCAAATCTCCGATGGCGTGATGTCTTCGACCCCACCGCTTTTCTTCCCCAGTGTCGGTCAGTTTGGGGGGCCCGTTGGCGGGCACACGGAAAAAGGCGCCGGCGACAACGGATCCTGAGCGCACACGTATCCGCGGGGACGGGGCTCAGACCTCTGGGGCAACGGGTGGAACAAATCAGATTGGCGGACCCAAAGATCCCACATATTTACAAAATAAAACAAGGAAATTCGTCGCAATTTGCAGCCTCCAATAGAAACTCTCGCGGGAGCCCACGACCTTCCAAAAATGAGTCAAGATGGAAAGCCTGTCCAGGGGAACGGGTCGCGACTTCGGGGGGCGCCGCTTAGGAAACATAAACATCGGATCTCTGGGGATGTCGGGGTCTGCCACGCGCCGGTTGCTGAGATCGGCCGCGCCGCGCCATCGCGCCCTCGCGGCCCTCGGATGCAGACTTCCTCGAAAACGCTTTCGCCCCAAGGCGGTGCGAAAATTGAGGGCGTGCGTCGTCACGGTCGTGGGTTACATCAAGAAAAGCTTTGAGATGCTTCCAACGCGCGTACTTTCGCCCCCGCACGCGCGGACATGAATGAGATAACAACGATTAACTATTATTTGTCTTCAGTCTCCCTGTAGATTTTTGGGGCATCCAACCCTCACGCTTTGATGAGGCTCTATGCTATGAAACCGACATCCGCGCGACGCAACACCGAGCGCGTGAATCAAACAAGCTATGTTATGAAGAAAGCGCCTAGTAAGGCGCCGAACGACAATTGAGGATCAAAACCCGCCGCCCGAACACAAGCCCCAACGCGCCAAAGGCGCAGTCTGGGCGGCCGGGGGCTGCGGGGGGATTCCACGTCAAAAAGAACGTGCCGAGAAACAGCCCCGATACTCCAACAATACACCAACACCTCCAATATCTGGCCGAGACACCCCGAGGACCTTTCAACAAAAGGACGCACACACCCTTCACGTCCACACGGGACCCCCGTGGAAGCCCGCGGAAGGCCACCCGGATGCGCCGCGTGCAAGGGCGCAGCCAAGACGTGCGACCGGTTAAGGTGAAATGACAGCGTGTGCTATGACAGTCGGACTAGATTGGAGAGGACACGCGAGAGGACACGAGACCCTTCCGATGGCCACGCTGCCACAGGAAGGTAGGAGGCATGGGAGGCGAGACGCAGGACACAACCTACTAATCCGGGCCGACTGTGTGGCCAACCCGAAACCAAGAATCTCTGCTTTCAACGGTCCGGGGCGGTGAAAGCTCCAGGGGCGGACGCTGCGCGCCCCCCCAAGGCGGAAGGCCGATCGACGCAGGGCCGCGTCCCCGCTTGAGCATGCGCATCCACCAGCGGCGCAGCGGGCGCACATCCAGCGGCGCCGCGGGAAAACACGTGCAGATAGTAGTTTGCGCGGCAATGGTCCCATCGACATTGTTGGATGGCCTTGAAGGGCGCGCTGGTTAAAGGAGGCTGAGCCACAAGCAAGACACCATGTGCGGCCTAACGTCCTGTTCGGAGCCGATAAAACAATACTACAAAAACTTCAGGACCAACGCGTAGCGCCCCTCGGCGCTTTCCACCGATAAAGATTTGCCAATGTCTTGCATGTTGCCCAATCTCGACGAGGCTGGCTGCATGTCGGGATGAACCTCTTCACCTCGTCTGGGCTTTCAGTGGAGGCAGCAGTCAACAAACTTGAAGGCACGCCACAAAATAATAGGTTGCAACGTCTATAACAGAAACAACGGCAAGCAAATGAACAAATACACATGTGTTGGTTCCGATATGAGCCCTCCCGCCCAAACTCAAGAGTGAGCCCCCACCCGACGATATCATCCTCTGACTCCGAAGGCAAATGTCCGCCGCAACCGACGATTTTTGTTACGCACAACGCTTCCACACAACACAGACTGGCACCGCAGGTAGGCCCCACACCGACGGGCTCCTGGACACCCGTGGCCTGGAAACTGATCCGTATGCACGACATCGGGGCCTTGCTCGGCGGATGCTCCGCGCGGGATGCACCCATGCGGCCGCGTATCCACCGGATCGCGCCCCAGAATCAAGACCGCGGGGGCGCGGGTATGTATGCGTTCGCCGCCCATGACACCCCCCCAGGCCGGAGGCCTGGGCGGCCTCCCCCCTCCCCTCTGGCGCTGGCAGGGCTGGGTTTACTTGGGACCTGGCTTGGTGCTGTGAGTGTACCGGGGACGCCTCCCCGCCCCGTTCCACGCGCGGGAACTGCCGCCGCCCGAAAAAGCACCAGCTGCGGCAAACACGGGGCAGCGGCTCTGGCCGATTAGGAGGGCTTCGGGGCCCACTCGCTAACCGGGTCCCCTACTCCGGGGTCCTGGCTATATGAAGGGGGCCTGGGACACACAAGTAAATACACACACTTCCAATATTTTCCCAGATTTTCTAGGGAATCCACGATTCATTGTGTCTGTGTGTTTTCCCTCCTGACTATAACCGACTACAACTGTCGCAGCATGGGGGCCGCGCGGAGGCCCCATTGTCCCATGCCGCCGTTCCCGCCGCCCCCCCCTCCCCGGGGCAGGTCCCAAAGCGCGGCACGGCCGCCTGGATGAAGTCGAAGTAGTCGCCGCCGCCCTGGTTCGCGGCAACCTCGTAAGCCACCGGCGCGCGCGTCTTCGAGAAGGAGGGGCGGCGGAAGGATGGGTGGAGGTGAAGGGGAGAAGGGGGGCTGGGGGGGAGAGGTAGAGAGGTCCTCCTGCGGCATCCTGGAACCTCTTGGGACCTCCTGAAGCCTCCTGGGGTGTCCTGGGGCCTCCTGAGGCCGCCTGGGGCCTCCTGAGGCCGCCTGGGGCCTCCTGGGGCCTCCTGGGGCCTCAGAACTACATGCACACACAGAGACACAAATCACACCCAATACATCACACGCTAGACAAACACAACAGACACACACCACACACAACACCTACAACGCACAGAAAGCGCGCACAGCACAGAGCACACATCACACACACACAACACTCACAATCCTGGGGCCTCCTGGAGCCCCTTGTGGTATCCAAGTCGGGCCTCCTGAGGCATCCTGGGGGGCCCTGGTACACACATCGCAAGGTGTGGCAACCCCACTTGCGCTGGAGTGCGACCTCGCTGTTGCAAATCACTCCTGCTTCAAACGCCCTTACAGTTGTTTGTATGAGGCTGGGGAATCACGTGCCACTTGTATATATATATATATATATATATATGGATGAGGGGGCCGAACGGTCATTCATTGTCCTTGGTTGCGTGGCTGAAGTGCAGATCCGTGGTGAGGATGTTGCTTGTTGTTGTTGTTGTTGTTGTTGACCTCTCACTTCTGAGTTATTAAAAATGCGGATATCCCCCACCAGTGCACATTGTTTTTCCTCAATCAAAGTGTGCCCCTCGACGCTCGCACCCTGTTGTTTGACACCGAAAATCTTGATGCTCAAACTGGCCCCTTGAACATCAACAGCTCCCGCCTGAGACTTCCTCATAATTCAGCCAGGACCCCCACTCCAGCCCGAGACTTCCTCGCACTTTATTCAGGAGTCGCGCTCTCGCTTGGGACTTCCTTACAATTCACCCCGGAATCGCTCTCCCGGCGCTCTGGAGTCGCGCTGTCGCTGGAGACTTGCTTGTAATTCACTGAAGAATAGCGCCCTTGCGTTGGAATTTCCTGCAATTTGCTCCCGACATCCAAGCACCCAGGAGTCGCGCCCGTTGTGGCCCCATGTGCGTGCCCTTCGTGGCCCTGCTGTCGCCGTTTGTGGCCCCCTCACTAGCCTACGTGGCCCAGTTGCTACCCTTAGTGGCCCCATTGTTGCCTTCTGTAGCCCCGCATTATCTGCCTTTCGTGGCCCCCGCTCGTTCGCGCTTTCCGTGGCCCCATACGCATTCCATTCGTGTCCCCGCTGTCGCCCTTCGTGGCCTACTTCGTGTCCTTCTTGGCCCTGCTGTCGTTCTCTCTCGCTCTCGCTTTCGCTCGTCGTCGTCGCCGCCGCCGTCGTCGTCGTCGTCGCCGTCGTCGTCGTCGTCGTCGTCGTCGTCGTCGTCGTCGTCGTCGTCGTCGTCGTCGTCGTCGTCGTCGTCGTGCTCGTCGTCGTCGTGGTTGCAATCGTCGTCGTCGTCGTCGTCGTCGTCGTCGTCGTCGTGGTCGATCCCCTGTCCGCCCCTCTTGGGGTCGGGTCGACGATCCACGGCCGCCCCGCCGATCAGCGCTGCCGCTGGCCAGCCCGACGGTCCGCGGCCGCCCCGCCGCTTGCCGGGGTCCGGCCTGCAGGGAAGAAAGGTATACCCCCAAAATGGGTTCGATCGAAGACGAAAAGGGCGGGTATCGAGGGTTTGGGAAATACACTTTATTGGACATTCGAACAGATAGGGGCGAATAACATTAAACTGACTGTTGTTATTGTTGCTGCTGCTGCTGTTGTTGTTGTCGTCCCCCCAGCGACCCGGCCCGCGACCCACCCGTGACCCACCTCGAGACCCACCCGCAACCCACCCCGCGACCCAACCGCGACCCACCCGCGATCCACGCCGCGACCCGCTCGCGAACCACCCGCGACCCACCCGCGACGCACCCTCGACCCACCCGCGACCCACCCGCGACCCGGCCCGCGACCCACTGCCGACCCAAGAGGCCTCCAAGACGCCAAAGATGGCCTCTCAAACGGCCCTAGAGCACCCCAAGAGGGCTCCAAGTCGGCCCAGAAAGGCCCCCCAAACGGCTTTCGACTGCGTCAGACGGGCCAGGAGCCCACCAAGATGGCCGAAGTTGGCTCGAAGCTGGCCCAAGAGGCCTTCAAGAGGGCCTCCAGCAAGGCTAGAAAATCCCAAAACATTGGTCTACCCTAGGTTTTCGAAGGAAATTGTCATTTGCTTCGTTTCGGCCTTCCGACGCCCCGATACGACCCAAGAGCTCCCACAGATCGCCCAAAGATCGCCCACGAGGCCTCCAAGATGGCCCCAGAACGGCCTCAAAGGCCCCCAAGACGGCCCCAAGAGGCCCCCAAGACGGCCAAGGAGGCTTTTAAGACGCCCAGGATGGCCTCCAAGACGGCCCTGGAGCATTCTAAGAAGGCCCCAAGTCGGCTCAGAGAGGCCCCCCCAAACGACTTCCGACGGCGTCAAACGGGCCAGGAGCCCACCAAGACGGCCGAAGATGGCACTAAGACGGGCCAAGAGGCCTCCAAGAGTGCCTCCAGGAAGGCCCGAAAAGGCAAAAATCATGGATTTCCAATGAGTTTTTGAAGGAAAGTGGCATTTGTTGTTTTCAGCCTTCCGACGGCCCGAGACGGCCCAAGAGCCCACAAAGATCGCCCAAGAGGCCCAAGACGGCCCCAAGAGGCCCCCAAGAATGCCGAAGAGGCCTCCAAGACGCTCAAGATGGCCTCCAAGACGGCCCAAGAGCCCTCCAAGACATCCTCAAAATGGCCTCCAGGCGGCCAAGATGACCTTCAAGATGCCCATGCGTTCCCCGAAGGCTTTCCACACCGATTCGGGGAACACATGGTCCGATAGCTTGGTAGGTCTGGCCTCAACGTTCGGCCACATAGGCGCTTCCAAAAAGGCGGGGGGCGGCGGTGATTCGCCGTAGGCGTCTTCGATACATGCGTAGATATGAGGAGGCACATGAAACAAGGTCCTGAAGCCATGATCGATATATACATCTACAGAGAGAGAGAGAGAGAAAGAGAGAAAGAGAGAGAAGCAACAACAAACAACAGCACGTACACTTAGCTTCAGACAGAGCGAGCGAAGCTAGCAGGTAGTAGGGAGGCGGCATGGTGAAGCAAGGAACATGGATGCAAGACGAAAAGCGGCCAATGAATGCGCTGCTCCTGCAAGCTCGCCGTGTGCACTATGCGCGATCCGTCGGACTGGAACCTCCCTTCAGCTCTAGATGGAAGACCACCATGTGTGCGCGATAGCAGCGGACCCGTCTGAACGCTAGCATAAACCTAGCACCTCAAGCCAAGATTGCTACGGAGACGCAGAGGCGAAAAGCTTTGGACTGGGAGTTGTTGCCTTCTGCAACCCAAGACGGCACAACAATACCACAAAGATCGCTCCAAGACGACCTCAAAAGCCCCCGAGAGGGCCCCCAGACGGCCCAAGAGACTCCCAGGACGGCCTAGGAAGGCTCCAAGAGGCCTCCTGGGAAGTCCTCGTACGATCATGTACGAGCGGGGCCACTTAGTCGGATTGAGCTAGGCTGCACCGTGGACAAAAAACAGATCGAACCAGAATCAACAATATCCAAAGGACCTAAACGGCATCATGCTAGATCCGTCTGCATTTCGACCACGGATCTGCAAGCGCCGATGCTCAGATTGCCCTCCCAGGGAGTGCAGAAAGGTGCCTGCTCGGTGCCTAGGGGGGGCATGGCGGTGGACGGCCGATCAGCGATAGGGCGGCAACGAGAGAGAGAGAGAGAGAGAAAGAAAGAAAGAGAGAAAGCAACAAAAAAACATGACTAGAGAAGCATTGAGGGAGCAACGAGAGAGAGAGAGAGGGGAGCTCGAGGAACCAAACCCGTGCATTGACGTCACCTCGCGGCGGGCCCAGCGCCGATCCAACACGTCCGCGTGGAACTCGGTGGGCCTGCGTGCATGCCGTGCGTCCGTCCGTCGAGGGGCGGCGGAGAGGGCTGCGCACGCCTGGTCGCGCTGGCTGATCACGTGCGTGCCCACCTGGGCCGGCCCGCCGCCCTGGTGGTGCAGCCACTTGTTACGCTCCCGCAGCAGCAGGAAACCTCCACGGCGGGGGGCGGCACCAAACGCACTGGGCGCGTCCCGGGCAGTGCCCTGCGCCCCACCTCGACAGCTCTCTGTCTCTGTATCACTGTTCTTCTGTCTTTACGTGTTTTTTCTCCCTCTCTCTCACTCTCTTTCTCTCTCTCTCTCTCTGGTTCTCTCTGTCGTTCCCTCTCTCGTTCTTTCTTTCTCTCTCTCTCTCGCGCGAACGTCGACCCATCTCTTACGTAGCGAACGTGTCGACAAGATGATATTGTCATTGCGCGCCGGGCGATGTCTCCAGGATGTTCTGATAGTTGTCTCTTCTCTCTCTCTCTCTCCACCTCACCATCCCACACTTGATAAGGCCTCAGGCTGCTCAAACACAGCTTCCCCAGATAGTCCCAGCTAGCCTCAACAGGCCCCCCGAGTAGTCCCAGCTGGCCTCAACAAGCCCCCCGAATAGTCCGAGGTGATCTCGACACCCTGGCGCCGCCCTCCGTCTTCGCCCCTGGGACGCTCCGCGCGCCAGGGTTCGGGTGTTCAGGCCGCCCTGGACTGCTCGTGGGGCATGTTGAGGCAAGCTGGGACTACTCGGGGGGACTACTGAGGCAAGCGACGACCAAGTGGGGGGGCTGCATGCGTGTGCAAGCCGAAGCCTTACCGTCGCTCCCCGTCCGACACTGTCTTTGTCCCTCGATCTTTCTCTCTTTCTGCTTTTTTGTTGTTGTTTTCTCTCTCTCTCTCTCTCGCTGCTCGAAGGACCCCATCGAGGCACGCAACAGGCTTGGCCTTCATGTCCGCCCAACGCGCCGCCACGATGGTCCCGGGCAGGCCGTGCCGCCAGGCGGAGGGGGAAGGGGATGGGAGAAGCGGGCAGACGACGACGAACGCGCAGGCAGGAGGCCAAGGCCGGCGGGGCGGGCGGGCAGGCGGAAAATGGGCTGGCCGGGGCGGGCGGGCAAGCGGAAGAGGGGCAGGGACGCACCACCCCGGGTCGGCACGAAGCCCGAGTCGGCCATGGCCCTGTCGCGAAGCCCGTCCAGCAGCATAGCAGCTCCCGACAATGGGTCAGCGGAGGGCGTGACAGGAATCGCCGCGACGCGGCCCCCAAACCCGGGCAAGCCAGAAGGAATGGGCTGACCCCCGCTGGCGCTGACCTCCATCAAATGAACCCCGACCCCCCGTGTCCCTGCGAGCCCTGGTACCCGGCCCCCCGCTTGCAAGACTGGCAGGATCTGTCCACACCGAATCGGGAAATCGGATCGAATCGAAGTGTTCGTCGCATCGGGCTGCATCGGCAAGGGGCCGAAATCGAATCGGACCAGCTGCGCTAGACCGCACAACGGCGCCACGCAAGCATCTGGCCGCATCGAACCTTCGGAGCATCGGAACCGATTCGGATCAGGCAGGCCAAGGCTGACATCGAATCGGATTGATCGGGTCGAGATGGAATCTGCCTCGCGAGACTGGACGTCCTTCCGACCCTACGAGCGGCTACCCACCGACAGTTCCCATACCCCGACGTCCTGATTTCTTCACAGCGTCGACTCATGCACGGTTCCCCCGGGCCCGTAGGCGGCGACCCGAGGAGGACGGGGAGGAGGAGGAGTAGGAGTAGGAGGTGGACGTGGACGTGGAGTAGGGGGAGGAGGAGATGGAAAAGGAGGAGGAGGAGGAGGAGGGAGGGAGGGAGGGAGGGAGGGAGGGAGGAAGGGAGGGAGGAGGAGGAGGAGGAGGAGGAGGAGGAGGAGGAGGAGGAGGAGGAGGGAGGGATGGGACCACATCAAAGAGGCCCTGGCGGCCGCCAGCAAGCTGACAACCACCAGGGCCACAGATGTCAACTCGGCGCACGGGCGGGTGACCTCAACGCCGCCAGGTGCGCGCCGCCGCCCTGCGCGAGGCACGGGAGCCGTGGCGACGAGGAGCCCCCAGACCGAAGACCAGACGGGCTTCCGCCCCGACCGCGGCCCTCTACCGGAGGACCGAGGCCAGGCGGAGTCCACCCCCGCGGGGACAAGAACGAGCAAAACCGCGGCAGCCGCCAGCGGCCGCCCAAACCGCACGGAGCGCGGACCCAGGCGGCGGCACCCCCGAAACCCACGCCGGGGAGCGCCGCGCGAACCAGAATCTCGAGGGGGACCAGAGCGGGCCCCCTCACCTCCCGCGCACGGCTGCCTGGCCCGCCAGGCCTTGCATGTCCGCCTCGGTCGCCGCCAGAGGGCGATCGGCATCAGGAAACGCGCCATCGCTGGGCGTCGGTGGTGCAGCGCGCGGGGGCGCGCAGCTGCAGGCCATCACCGCGGCGGGACCATCGGCGAGGCCAGCAGTGCCAGCATCGTGCGACGACTGGCCGTCGGGCTGGGCGTCGGGCGCCACCTCGTGCATCGGCTCACTCGCAGGCGGGCTGGAAAACGGGTTGACGGTGCATTCCGGCTCCTGCAGCAGGCTCCCGACCTGCACACCCGGTAGGCCCACGGGGGCAGGGTCGGGAGGGCGGGCGTCGGGGGAGGCAGCGACGCCGCCTTCCTCGCTTACCTGAGCGCCGAGGGGGGCGTTAGACGAGGCGTCGCCAGCCTCGCTGCGCGCCTCGGCGCTCCGCTTCCCCCAGCGCGCTCCCGATGCCAGGGGCGGGAGCTTCGGCGCAGTGGCCGTCTCGCACGCTCGGCCAGCGCGAAGACGGCGCGTGACGGTGCACTGCGTCCGCGGCGGGCCTGGGCAATGGCCCCGTCGCTCGGGGCCGCTTCCCAGGCGGCGCGCACCGCAGGTAGGCGGCGCGGCGGGGCAGGCGCGGCACTCCTCTGAGGAGCACGACGCGCGCCCGAGCGCTGCCGCACCGGAAGACCAGCACCAGCAGGGCGTAAAACAGGAAGAGCATCACGATGGCGTACGCCAGGACCGCGACCTCCCTGTCCACTCAGAAGGCGCTGTGTTGGCGCGCGTTGCAGGCGATTCAACGCAACAAACCTCGCGAAGCGCGCACAAGGAGGTAATCATAAGGAGGGCGCGCGGCTTCTTAGAAGCAGGTTGCTTCTTAGAAGGCGCGGGTCTTGCATCTACAGACGAGGCCCGCGCCGTCCCAAAGGCAATGGTGTTTCTGAAAAGCCTTCCCCCTTCCTCTACCCCCGTCTGCACGTGGCCGACTCTGGGGAGGGGACGAACCACCACCCCGACCGTTTCATAACGGGCTATTGCCACACGACCCTCCCAGGCGTCTGCTAAGTCGCCCTGCGTTGTTCGACTCCGTCGTGTGATGCGTTGGCGAAGCTGCTTCGCACGTCGGCATGCTTTTGCTGATGGTGGTCTGTCCTCGAACCAGGCAGCCACGTGTGACCGACGAGAATTCGGAGACCACTCCTGGGAAGTCTTCGTCAGCATGGATAAGGGCCTCTAGGCTAGATTTGGCCCGATTGAACCCGCGGCCCGCGACTTCACCACATTAAACGGGATCAATCCGGACTAAGCGGGACTAAGCAAGACCAAGCGGGATTAAGCAACACCCATCAAATTCTCTACCAAAAATGCACCATAGCCAATTCAGAATTGAACCTCCCAGGAATTGCATCCTAGCGAAATGACGCGGGCACTGCGCGAGTCGACTCGACGTATTGACCTTGCGCGGTGGCAGACGCGGGTCTTCAGCGCAGCACGCCAAATTGGAAACGAAGGAACTTGCGCGCGGCCTCGCAGTTGGAACCGTTGCCTTCCGTCGCTCAGGCGGACCCTTTCCATGCAGGTCCGATTTCTGAAAAATCGGTTGGGGCTCAGAATCTGAAGAACGTCTGCAGCGAAATCAGCCCCAACAGGGGTCCCCCGCGCCGGTTTACCCGCAAGGCTAGGGTCCGCAAGCGGTCGCAACACCACGCGCGCCACCCGCCCGCCAGGCCAGCCCGGGCTCGCCCGAGAAGCGGCCTGCGTCGACGCCAATCAAGGATGCAGTTGTTGTCTTGTGGATGCCAAGTATCAAAACTCGATAGTGCGCTCGTCCTTTGCTCTCGGGGACGTGGCTTTCCGCCCTCCCGGGAGTTGCAGCCTCGCTCGCAGCGCGCCAAAGCACAGCGCTTCGCCCTCGCAGCGGGGCAGAGGAGAAAAAGAGGAAGAGACGGAGGAGGGGGGGGAGGAGGAGGAGGAGGAGGAGGAGGAGGAGGAGGAGGAGGAGGAGGAGGGAGGAGGAGGAGGGAGGAGGAGGAGGAGGAGGAGGAGGAGGAGGAGGAGGGGGAGGAAGGGGAGGATGAAGAGGAGGAGGAGGAGGAGCAGGAGGAGGAGGAGGTTGCACTGCCAATCGAGTAAGAGAGAAGAAAAAGAGAGAAGAGCCCGCCTCCGTCCGCGCCGACGCTCGCGGCGCTGCCGACGGGGGGAAGAGGTAGGAGGACGGGGGGCGAGGGCCGCCGCCAGCTCAGCCTGGCCGCGCAACCGCGCCTTGCACAGCCGCCCCCAGGGCCGCAGAGGCTTCCTCCACGGCCGCCCGCTGAGCATTGAGGACATGCTGCTCCGCCCCCGTCTCCGCCAGCAGCTCGTAGAACTCTGCCTGGTCATCCAGGAACTGCTCGAAGTCCTGGAGCAACCGCTCGTCCTCAGCCTCATCCTCGAGCTCAGCACTGCTCTCGCAGTCCCGACCGTCGAAGACGAAAGAAACTGCGAATACGTCGCCGACCTCGAAGACGGCCGAACCTTCATGAACTTCATCTCCGCGAGGAAGCTCAGCCTCCACCTCGCCATCGGCGCCAACGGACCCGTGCACGCTCGGCGCCGCGGCGAGCGGCACAGGTGGCATGTCCTGCTGCTCCAGCAGCGCTACGGACTGCAGGTCAGCAGGCGCGCCTCCGCCCTCAGCATACACCGTGTCGTGGGGGTGGGCCCCGCACGCGGGAGCGGCCGCAGCCAGCGCCTGCAGCAGCGCGTTTTTATGCCCATCGGCGGACTGCCACACGACGCCGTGGGCAAAAGCACCAGGCACGAACCCTGGGGCAGCAAGGTTCGAAGCAGTCGGCCCAACCGCGGACTTCACTGGCGCCACCGCGCAGCACACTTCGACGATGCACTCCACGGGAGGCTGCCTGAACGCCACCAGGTTGTCCAGCCTGGCCCATTTGGCCGCGAGCCTCAAAGACGGCCCGCCAGCCGTGGCGATGCTGTCGATGCCCTATGCCACCACGTGGAGCGTCACGTTCCTCCGCAGTCGGCGCAAACCAGAGGTCCTGCGGCCATTGACCAGGTGGCTCAGCGCGAGGACAAGCGCCAGGACCTTGTCGCCGATGTCCCCGTCCGCGATTGCCGACGCGCAAGCGTCCTGCAGGAACTGGCACTCCTTCCGCGCCTCCTCGAGCTCCTTCGAAAGACGCTTGACCGGGTTGTCAGCGGCAGCCCGCGCTGCCGCGGCGTCCCGCAGCGGCCCCCCCGAAGGCGGCCTTGCCAAGGCGCGTCCCGCAAACATGCCGTTCCAGCCCTCCCTAGCGCCGCCGCCTCCAGGCCGCCAGCGAAGCGCCACCGGCCATGGGCGAAAAAACTGCAGAGAAAGCGTGGGAATGCAGCTTGAGCCAAAATGGCTACAGAGGAGGAGGAGGAGGAGGAGGAGGAGGAGGAGGGAGAGGGGCATCGGTGGGCCCTGCGTACTGCGGCGCGCGAGACCCAGCGGGCAGCAACGGTGACCGTAACGCAGACCCAGAGCGACGTGCGCCCCTGCTGGGAACTCGCGGCCCAAAGACACAACGGGCAGGCGCGCGGACTGCAGGCCCAAGAGGGAGGAGGAAAAGGAGGAGAAGAACCAAGGTAAACTCAAGACCCATCGACGAAGTTGCCGTAAACCCTCCCTCCTAATTCCCTCATCACAGGCTGCTATCAAGATTTATATCACTGCAGGAAGACAGCCTTCTAAAAAAACTTCAACCGTGCACAAGGACCGATCGTGCCAGAGAACTATACCCAGGACGTCAGCAACGCGAGTAAGTGTGACTGTCGCGCCCTGGCAATGCTCACTCCTGCCCCGATACAATTTCTGGGACGTCAACCATCAGAACCCTTGAAACTGTCAACGCGAATTTGCGCAGCACTAAAGCGAGAACCACATTTTGAAAACTGTCCGCCCTCCATCCGTAAAGCCTTCGCAAACTTTTAAGACGAATGTGCGCGGCGCCAGGCGGGAACCACATTTGGGAAGCGACCCGCCCTGCCTCCGTGGAACTCCCGCAAACTCTTAGGACGATTATGCGCGCGCTGTGGCGAGAACCACACTTTGAGAACGACCCACCCTCCAGCCGTGAAGCTGCTGCAGACTGCAAGCTTCAGGATCCGACAGAATGAGGCAGTGGAGGAGCAGGGGAAATGGTCTGTCCGCGTAACCCCGCGGCGCCCGCGCCACCGCGCGCGGGCACCGCGCATGCATGCTCGGACGTGTGCCGTGAACGCAACGAAGAGCACGTCGAGCGAGCCGAACACGCGAGGCGAGCGAACGGACGCACAGCGTGCACGAGGCCGACGGGCCAAGGAGCTAGGCCAGGCCCCCAAGGGGAACAGACCGCGAGTGGCCCGCAGCGTCAGGGGGGGTGGGAGAGGGGGAGCACACCGGCAAGCAGGCAGACGGGCAAACAGGCAGCTCACGATCAGTGCCTCGCAACCTGCAGCGAGCACGGCCACCAGCCTACCGTGCTGCGCACGGCCCTCCGGCGCCTCTGTGGCCGACACAGAACTGCCAAGGGTCAACACTGAAAGGGCCCTGGGACACACAAATGAATACGCACAAATAGCAGAAAAAAACATATGTTCCCATAGTTTCGGTGTTTTTGCCTTCCCCCCCACTTCCCAGATGTTTCCCATATTCTCTGGGAATTGACGATTCATTGTGTCTGTGTGTTTTTTTCCCTCCTGAAACAAAGCCGCGCGGATGAGGCCGGGCACTCAAACCGCCACCCCGACTCCTCCTAGGAGTCCGACCCTCCGCTGATGGGCCTCGACGCGGCACACTGACCCGTCCCGGTCGTAGGTCACCCAGCGCGGACGCCCAGCGGAGACGCGTCCACCGACGGCCACGAGGGGGGCGAACGACCGCTCACGCAGATCCACCGCTTCTCCGAACTTCTAATTGAAACGACAAACACTTCATGTGTATATATATACAATGATACACACTCACACGTGCAAGTAACCGTCTAGCTCTCTCTGTCTCTCTGTCCCATTCGTATTGTATCCACTTCCACGATGCACATGAAGTCAGACGAACCGACATAATAGAAACAATGATCGGCATGCAGTGTGACAAAGAGGGGCACATGCAGAGGGGGGAGAAACGGGAGATAGAGGAAGGGGGAGCGAGACAAAAACAACGAATAGACACACACACACACACATAATAACCAACAGCAGGGAAACGGAAGTCTGTGAGCTATGGGAATACTGATAACGAGGAAACAATGATAATGCTTGCGACAATAAAGGGTAAGAGCAACCGATCAATCAACGCGATAGGTATAAAGGCAGGGACTTACATTAAGGGCAAATGCCTGACAGATGAAACTGACTGCGGACTCGCACTGCAACATCTCAACATAGAACCCCCTCGAGACCAAAGCCAATTACTCACGGAATTACATGCAGCTTGCAACACAGACGTGGGGAACCGATCGTGGCCAAGGTGATCATACCAAGCGAGAGCCACTCCAGCACCCCGTAGCGCCGCGGAAATGCGAACACACTGGCAGCGGCGGGAAGAGAGTGAACGCAGACTAGATTGGATGTGCAATGCGCGACATGTAATCTACAGCATCCACGAGCATCTCTATGTCAACGTAGCTCGAGTGACGCACGCGCCCAGCGGCAAGTTCGTGTCGTGACGCTAGCTCCGCGTGGATCGCTCAATCTTGAACGATGGGCAACTTTTCGTTCGCCAAATCGTTCCCTATTCGCCGATTCTGGGCCAATTGCGGCGTTCATTCTTGAAAGCCCGCGGGAGAGTAAATGCCGCGTCGACATGACGGGAAACTGTCGCGTTGTCTTACAGAGTGCTGCGCGGAGCTGCAGACTGGTTTGAAGCTTGTGCTCGAAACATATTGGCGCGCACACAAGCAGCAAAGAAACGAACGGAAATCATAGAGGGACAAACAACGGCATAAACATAAATTTTCGGAGAACGCCGCGCGGATTTCTACGATCGGCGCTGGAACCCCTCCCTGGCGCGCGGAGCGCGCAAGGGGTGGCGTCTGATGCACCGCCAGAAGGGGGCCCAACGCCGATACCACAACCCCGTGCAAAACTCCAAAAATATGTTTACGATATTTTCTCTTAACAGAAACTTGCACGCCCGAAGCGGATGGGGAACAAATGGGCAACATGCCCCACAACACAACGTTTCCCAAAACCAACAGCGGCAGCTGTTGGACAGACGAGTTCGTGCCTCGAACGGACAACGATCGCGAAAATGCGGACATCGAGTCCTGTTCAGAATGATCAACATCTGGCGTTGGCAGGAGTGGATGCAGTGGGGCCTGCTGTAATGATGTGTATCGTTGGACGCCCGGCCCGCCCTACCCGGAACAGCCGCCACCCGAAGAACGTCCAACAACGTCAGGCCTCGTTTAGTGATTCCGGTTGTTCTTTTCGTTTCGGGGCCCAATCACTAATCGGCTCCCCTTACTTGGGGTCCTTACTCTGCAAAAACTGCTATCGGCATTCGTACCCATTGGTTCCGCACCCACTTCGATCGTACCAGAACAGGCCTGCCAGAACGGTGGGAAACCAGGGAGATGGGCGACACCGGCGGGGGCAGCTTCGACAGGCCAGCAAGACGATTCACAATCGCGCGGGTCCAGTTTCGGTGGCAACCCACGCGGGCCTCCCATGCCATTTTGTTGGCTCTTCCCCATCGATTCTAAACGACGCAACTTGGCGTAATCGTTGCTTTTCTGATGCCAATCGACGCTGATCGGCGCTTTCTTATCGACTACTTAATGTTAGCGTAAGCTGGTACATTCTGAACATGGAACTTCAAGGGCATACAACGCCCCCAGGATTTGCAACCCAACCCAAAAGTTCGCGAAGGCGAGCCAGCACTACATTTAGTTGGGGCAACTCCTGGACGACCAGCCTGGCTGACGCCCACAATAAGGCCCGAGCAAGTGGGACCGGAAATTTTATAGCATCATGAGTCAGTACCAGATGGGTTGTTGCTTCCTCCTTGCGACCACCAAATGTTAAGACCAGGCAGGCGTGGCGCGCTACAACATGGAATTTGAGTCTCCCTCTTGTGGGGGAGAACACAACGGAGAGTGCGTGTGGCCCCGACAACAAACAGGGCAGAGGGTGGAGACGCGCACGGCCACCGCCCAGGAGCACGAGACATTGCCAGCGCCGCCGAGCAAAACACCGAACCTGAGACTACAAGCCTCGGCCGCCAAGTGGCAGGGACATCCAACGTTTTGCGCATGGCAGAGGACACTGCAGCAATACCATGAGCCAGGGGCACAGAGTTCCACATTTGTCAGTCGGCGGAACAACTTTGACTAGAGGACGACACCTTTTCAATAGCGGCGCCACGCTACAAGGAAAGCCCCGAGGAGGGCCGCCGACTTAACATGGGGGCCTGGAGGCAGAAACGAAGACCATCCAATGCTTGGGGGCGGACTGGGTGGCACTCGTGGATTGCCTCGGCCACTGCCGCTTCCCCCGCCAGGCGCCGTGGAAAACGGCGCCGGAATCCCGGCGGGCAGAGCCGGGTGGCGCCCGAGGTCTGCTTCGTTCACTGCCACGTCCGCCGCCAACTTGCCCTGGCCGCAGACATCGCAGCAACCGCGGGGGGGACTCGCGTCACAAACAGGAGCAAGCAGAAGCGCGAGAGGACACAGGAAAGAGAGGCACCCAGCCCCACGGCGCTGCGGAAACTGCAGTCGAACAAAAGAGGGGACCAGGAACGGGGGCCCGGCGGACCATGGGAAGAAAGCAAGTAAACACGAGCTCCCCGAACTGACATACAGGACGCTAGCCTGCAGCATTGCAGGCCGAGGTGGCTAGTGGCTAAGAACCGCCGCAATGCCTGGTTCTTGAAGGCGGGTGGGGGCGCCTCCCGAAGGCACGGCGCCGCTGCCAGCCGCGTCTCTTTGAGCGGACTTAAAAGGGGGGGGGGCTGCCGTGGCCGCCCAGCACCGTTCCCCCGCCGCAGAGGGAAGCGCGCTGCAGAGCGCGCGGGCAGCAGCTGGAACGACAGGATCGCATGCCGAGTCGATATCTGCTGGTGAATTAACAATGGCGCCAGGCCGCGCGGGATGCTCACCCCTACAGATGGTCGGCCGCACCCACTCCCCAAACTTGGACAGAGGAAGGGGGCACAAATCACTGAGGGCATCAATTCGACCGTGACAGCTGCGCGACTTGCCGACGGCGCGCGATGAAATTAATTCCGCCACTGCACGGAGGAAGAGTGCACTTGTGACCATGCTCGGCGATAGCCTGTTGATCAGCGGAGACAGAGCCAGCGCGGCGACCAGGAAGGGGCTTCCTAATTAGGCCATCGCTTCTTGCCGTTTCGCCGACGAACCCTGCATCCCCAGGAAGCATCAACGATGTCCCAAGCATGGCACGCTGCAGGGCCGACCTGTTTAGGGGTTTGGGCGGAGGGAGGCAGGCGACTTGGCCGAACTCCCGCAGCGGCTGCCAGAGAGGAAGCAACTGCATGCCTCATACTGAAAGTACGCGCATCGGCCGATTCAAATTCGAGGTCAGTTACAATCGAAGGATCTGGAGTCGGGCGATGCAATCGAGCCAGCTTGGCGGCCTGGTCGGCCGCGTCGCTCCTCTGAGGAAGCGAAACTCGTCTGAAATACCAGCGTCTTCAAAGCTCCGGCGCCCTTGCACATGCATGACACTCTGCGCATATCGGAGCGAATCGTGCGCGCACCTGCAAAATGTGACCAACGCGCGCGCTTCTCCGGAATCTGGGCAGCCCGAGACGGAGCATGCTACTCTACTGTTGTTTTGCAATCGCTACAGCCTGTCGTGAGCTCTATGGCAGCCAGGTAAGCACAGAACGCTCCGGCCTGAGGGGCCCGGGGCACGTGGGCCCAGAGTGGGCAGATCACCCTGCGCACGAGTCTCGACCGCCATGCAAGACCACGCCCCGCGAAGCAAAGCTCCTCTCGCGCACGAGCAAGCGGGCGCAGGAACCGCCCGCATAAATCTGGCCTTGAAACCTCTCGGGGCACGGGGCGTCGCCGCGCCAATGAAATTCCCAAGACCATTCGTCCGCGCGCGCAGTCGGGGGGGCGCAGCCTCCCAGGCGGGAGGGGGGGGGGCGCGCGCGAGAAGGGGCAACTTTTTCAGCGCCGCGCGGGCAGACTCAGCGGCGCCGTCGATGAGCTCGCTTGCCACAAGGCCCCGACGCTCTAGATCATACTCGGGGCGCTGCCAGAGTCTGTGGAGCATTCTGTCCGACAGGGGCCCCGCTGCTCGCGGCCCCCGGGGAACTGGCGACAATTCTCCCTGGCAGCCAGACGTGCTCACGTGGGCTGCGGCGCGGAACGTGCCCTTCTCCAAGGGCGTGAACTTATTGGAGGCAAGGCGCGCGCTCACCGCGCCGTAGGATAGCTGATGGGGGAGACTTTGCTTCGCCCTGGCGCCCCTTTCCAGCCGCCTCAAGACCGCGCGTTTCAAGGGTTTCTGAAGAGGGGTGGAGAGGTTCAGAAAGGTTCTTTCATGTTGCCCAAGTCGCCCTGAAGGGGACAAACGAAGGCATCGTCCAACCGCGCCTGGAAAAGGGCCATCAACGTAGCAGATCGGCCAAGATTCACCGTGCCAAAAGGCAACTCCCTCGGTCTGGACAGCCCCCCAAAGCCGACGGAGCTAAGGAAGATCAAAACCATCGTCGCGAGTCCTGGCACGGGCCGCCCAGACCTCGCGGCGCCACCGAGAGACGCGCACCACGTGGGAGAGCCCCGCGGGGTCTTTCTCCAGGAGAAGGAGAAGGAGAAGGAGAAGCACCGGCGCAAAGGACCTCCGAAAGCTCAACATCCCGCTGTGGAGCCCACCATAGCATTCACACCCGTGACGAATCACTGGCCAGGGCCCAGCAATCCAGAATCGACGAGCCCGGCGGCCGATGGCGCTCGCCTATTTGCCAAATCGTCGAGCTATAGACTGGCCAGTAGGAAACCGGGCTTTCGCTCTGGAGTGACGCACGCGGCCCCAAGGTGCCCCCCCTGGCAAGCCGTCCATTCCGAGGTTGGGAGGGGGGGCGACGAGGAGACCGGCGTGTTCTTCGCCCGCGAGCTCCTGGATGCGAAGCCTGACTCGACGCGAAGTAGAGATGAGCGCTGCCTTGCCAAGGGAAAACGCGGCATCGGCAATGTCGGTAGCTGCTGCTAACTGCCGACCTGCACTCACAGCGCCACCCGCGACGACCGGATCTAGACCCACTGCGGGGGTCGAGGACTTGTCGATGTAGAGCTTATAATCAACGCGTGGGAGCCACGAAGCGGCGCCAAGAGTCATGGTCATAGCAATGTGACCTCTGATCGCGGCGGCGGCCAGTGCGCCGCCAGCGACGACGCCAGACCGGGCGCGATCTGCCGACGAAATGTGCCCGCCCAGGGCCAGATACCTAGCGCTGGAGCGCGCTGCAATGGCCTAACGACCAGCACCAAGCGGGAAACGGA